GAGTGGGCGCTCCTTTCTTCCACTTCTTTTCTACAACTCTCGAAACTCTGTTCCCAAAGCATTAGAAACTTTGAAAACCGGTCCAATATCAGAGTGGCAGCGGCATGCCGCATCGCAATAATCTTCAAAATTCTGTCCCGGTAACGAATCTAATCAACCAACTTTATTTTTTAGAATAGCATTTTAAGGCGTACTTGATTTGAGCAAACAAAGTTTTCATGTGCAATTTAAAAATTGTATGTAAAACTATTAAAAAGCGCGCGTTGGGCTTGTTCCAAGTTTTTTTTTCCGCGACTGTGAGACCTTACGTCATCCTGAGTGCATCTGTCCCATAACCATTACATAAAGTGAAGAAGACATCTTCAAAGAGTCATAAAATGGAATGTGCTGACTAGCAGGCTATAAAGCAGCGCGGACACTCATTCCTGGGCTACTCTTGTTGTTGTAATCCATCATTTTCTTCATCACTTCCGTTTTTGGACTGGTTTTGGTTCACCGGACGCAGATAGGATTATGTATCTATACCTTATATAGTTATTTTTTTACAATAACTGCCTCATATTATGGTCATGATTACACATCTCCTTCCCAGGATTTCTGTCGACCAGATAGCGTGGCAGTTGATACATCAAGTTGTACATGGTGATATATCTTATAGATAGTACCAGAGGAACAGCCTTCGCACAGGCTGTACACCCCTGATCCCTGAAGGTAAATCGACATTCCGATGATCTTTAAACTTCGCCATTCGAGGCTCACCGGATGAATGAATGCCAGGTTCTGACGTGGTTTGGGACGATGAGATTACAAGGGAAGGGTGTCGTCACCTCTGACGACGATCCCCTTCCCTTGTGCGCTCGAAGTAGGGGTGTAGGACTTTCTTAAAAGATCTCACTTCACACCTATCATGCCTGTTGGGGAGACTCGCCTGCGGTGTTACCTGACTTAATTGCTCTCTCACTAACTCCTGACCTTTCCTCTACTTGACGATTACATCATGATGACTGATTATTAACTGCTGATTTTTTAGCAAAATTTAATCGGACTAAGGACTACAATTAAAAAATTTGAATCACATGAAGCAATCAAAGATGGAAAACATGTTAAAATGAATTAAAAATGAAAACACATAATTAGGCTAGATGGTTGAGTGTTCAGGTAACAATCTAGACATATCCAAATCTAGACATTTTTCGACAATATTCTTCCGCTTCGATTTGAGATGCGCCATTTCGAAGACATACAAGCATCGAAGTTCAAGAAGAAAACGTGCACAAAGGGAAAGGGAGTGGTGTACGCCGGAGACATCACTGGAAGATCAGGGAGAATTGGTGGGAACGGAATAAAGGGAGGAGTTTTATCGTTCATGCTCTACTCTGCGTTACACAAACAACATTGCTAAAGATTTCCGCTGATCAGCCCGCTTAAATACTTATTAGCGACGACCTTTATATAGGTGTGAGGTTGATAAAAGAGATGCCTAACAGTTAACGTAGTGGCGGTCAATATGTAGATAATTACCCCTTCATACTAGAGAGGCATTCAATAAGTCCTCTGCAATGACAGCTGAGTTCTTGGCGCAAGACACATTCAACCGTCAAGTAATTACAGAGCCTAGAAGTTCATATCATTTGGGATACCTTCCATGATGAAAGCATACGAATTTTTTCAATACGTGCCCCTTTTTTCCTATTTGGATTGCAGTAATTTCATGTTATGTACGTCTGCATTTCAGTTGTTGTAAGTGGTTAAATGTGTTTTTGACATTTTAAATTTATGAAAACATCTTTTTTCTGACATTTCCTACGTTTACTTTTATTTTTTCCTTCTACTTTCCATGTTAGGTTTGGCTCAGTCGTGTCTGTAGTCGAGAGGTCAGGAGTTAGTGAGAGAGCAATTAAGTCAGGTAACACCGCAGGCGAGTCTCCCCAACAGGCATGATAGGTGTGAAGTGAGATCTTTAAGAACGTCCACACGCCTCGGAAGTATCTATGTCGGTCAACTTAGCACGAAGGTCCGTCGGCGCTTGGGGAATCCTTCGCCCAGCACCTTTCAAGGCCTTGAAGGAGTGAAGACTCTGTTTTCAGCGGCGGACTGTCTCCTCCATTTGGCGACTATGCCGGTGTTCAAGAGACATGCGCGCTATTCGGTTAGGGCCATCTGAACTATATGCTAAAAGTTGGAACCGCATGAAGTGCGGAACCTACGAGTTTTTGACCTTCAATGAAGTGCAAGAAAAGGTCTCAGTGGACATAGTTTTTTTGCTGAGAAAGAGAATAAGAATGGGATTACTGTTCCCTCACGCCTCGTCAACCTACAATGCTGCACAGTGCAAGTATATAGGAGAAGGTCTACTAAAGGAAGAGGAGCTCGACGTAAGTAAGTAATAGTAATGAAAGGGGCCGTCTCGACGACAGTTAGGAAGGCAAAAGAAAATCCCTGAACATCCAGTTCTCAGCTGTGGACCACGTGTTTCTTCGTTTAGTTTCTAAATGTGAATGTCACGGAATTGGACTTGATGTGAAGAGACTACAGTTATAAAAGATGATCATCTAGTAGATTCATTTGCAAAAGGGGATCATTCGCACCAGGACCCAAACAGTTCAACGTGGCAGTGTTGGGTTGAGTCTAGTCAACCAGCGGAAAAACTGCTTCTTCGATGTGATGGAGATTGGCTATGGTAGGGACTCCACATTGAAAAGCAAGCAATGCGAGTTGACTGGTAGTGTGGTAAAACGAAATATGTGAATGGGTGTCCCCATCTGGTAGGATGGGACTGGGTTCAGCGAGTCTAAAAGGTCAACTAAAAACAAGGGACCCTTGTGGTTCTCGGGACATGATCCAACCGCAATACTTTCCTATCCGTTCATTCTTTCTTTCTTCTTTCTTCCCTTATTTTCCCTGCTCCTTTTATTTCTTGTTCTTCTCCCAACGATCAAAGGTCTAGCCTAACGAGTCGTCTAAAAACTGCTCGTGGTGTTCCGCGTTTTTCTGCAATGTCACCAAATGCTTTTTCTTTCACGAACAGTCTCACCCTTCTTGTTTTCGTAAAGTGGTTGTATTTTCTCTTTGTTTCCCCTCATTCACGTCGATTTTTAACAGTCTACTTTCTTTTAAAATCTTCCAGAATATGGAAAGTCACGTTATTGACCGGTTTCGAGGTCTGGACATGAATCATGGTTTCATCAAGTCGATCGTCAAAAATCAAATTGATAGGTTAGCTTTGCGGCAGGATGCTTTTCCAGCGCTCCTGTTTTAAGTTAAAATGAAAACAGTTTTGTTGTAGTTGTGCTAAAATTTTCAACGCTCTTCGAAAACTTCCATTCCAGGGATGAGTACCACAAGGTGATGGAAGAAAGGAAAGTCGAAACACAACGAAAATTCCGTGAAAGTAAGTTTCTGTTATAGAGCTTTATGTTACTATCGAGTCCTCAAGTATCAAACTTCTTCAAGGTAAAAGAAGGAAACCTATCCCCGCTGCAGAATATAGACTTTACGTTCCACCTCACCTTCGAGGAAAGGATGAAACTCCTGCTAGGAATCATGTGTCAGATCGGGTACTGCTTTAATTTATAGATTCATTATTGTTATGTATCCTTTATGGTGTCAAGTGTATATTGAGCGAACTGCAATGTTTTCAGAGAAACCCCTGTCCAGCAATAGTGAGTGAGGTTGAGGAGAACACTCTCAGAGAGAAGGTGAGTTGGTTGTTGAGAAAGCCTGTCTGTTAGGCGTCTGTCAGCCACTATTTCATAAGTCCTTTCACGGTATTTTTCATTTTCCTTTCACGTTTACATTCCGTTGACTATGTCTTGCATATTTTTATGCTCGTGAGCAGGACTATAATTATTTTCATTCTAGGTTCGAAGTCGAATACAAGCTCGACCAGGAGAGGCACATACATTCAGTCCTACCGGTTAGTCGAATAAACATTGCTATCATCGTCTTTCCTAAATATGTTTTAGGCCAAGATTCCGCGCGTTCCTCTGCACCTCGACCCATATTTTTGCTTAATTTGAAAAAGAATACCGGAGATTCTGTTGATGTCGCAGTAATGAATGTATGTCCGTCCTTTTTGTTACTGCTTACTGGCATCTTAACGTCGCGAGTGTTATCGACTTTTAGACTGACAACGCCGCACGCTTAGCGAAAGAGTTGGGAAGGAAACACGGTTTTACGGATGATCAATGCCGAATGTTAAGACTCACTCTCGAGAGAGAGTTCGAAGCGAGGCTACCTTCTTAGTAGTGAGTTTACTTTGATATGCCTTCTTTTTTCTCACTTACCAAGTCTGCTTCATCTCGTATCAGGTTGGTGGGAAGGTTTTTCATGTTCTTTTTCAACCTAAAAAGAATTCAGTCAGGTTTCTCTTATTTCTGAACTTAAAAGAAGTCTTCGTCGTTATCTATCCCTTCTGAGATGCGGCACGCATTTTGATTTCAGTCGAAACTGTGTTAGCTTATTGAATGCGACGTGACCTATGCATAGAATGACTTGCGCTTGCCAGCCGATGTACAGGTCAGCGTTCTCATCTTCGCACAAGAATCTGCTACGAATCAACCGTACCGTTGCTGGAGTATAGAGGGCCCGGGCGGGAGTCGATCATGAAAGCTGGTGGGACCGAAATGACAGTCTTCGAGAAACTAATGTTTAGGAGGGGCGCCACAGTCTTGGAGGC